TTAGGGTGGAGTAATTTAGGCTTCTCTGTCACCCTCTTTGTGATATTAGGAGTTCTTAGATTCTGATATGGGAATCAATTTTCGGGTGTGGGGAATCGATCCTTCCTCGGCAGGCAGCCAAACAACAATAGGGGAAGGCATGGCAAACAGAAAGGCGGAGTTAGGCCCCTATGTGTACACACACAGACACACACACACACACGCCCTACTCGCAGTGGCCAAGTTTCTTAAATGTGGCTAGCTGTAAAGCCCCTCCCATGCCATGAGTAACAAAGAAACAGAATTTCCGGAGGATGGAGGCCCAGAAATCAGGATTTTAAAAAGATTCCCAGGTGATTCTAATGTGCAGCCAAGGTTGAAAACCACTGAGCTAACATTTTCTCAAAGTTCCAATCATTGAAAGTAGCAATTATTGGGGGGGGCGGGGATCTGGGGAGGTTGGGGGGAGTGATGGGCAATTTTGTACTTTCAAAGGCCTTACTCCAAATTGGCAAGTGATTGTAACTGTCATTTTCAGCGTTTGTCTCTCATCACAACAATCTCACTGTGTCACAGCCAGGTTCTCCCTTCCGTTGAAAATTAAAATGTAGAAACATTAATTAATGAACTGCAGAGTCTTTCCGAACTTAGGATTTAGGAACGTACATGGTCACGTATCTGTGTTTTTAAGAACTCTGTAATACCAAACGACGCTTCAGCGAGGAGAAAGGCACTTATTGTGGAAAGGGGCATGCAATGGGTACGAAACCAAATGCACGGTTTCAGCAGAAATAATGCTTCCATCTGCGATGCCAGTTTGTAATCTATATTCCTGAGAAAAAAAACACTGACTTCCACAAAGATGACTGTGAGAGAGGGATGCTTTGGGCGTGTGTCTGTTACTCTTCTGAATAATTGTATTGTTTAACCCCAGAGATGGGACGTGGGTGGGCAGAGAAAAATATCTACGAGCTGTTTTAGTGGCTGCGGTGAGCTTGGCTACCAAAGACTAATAGCAATGTAATTCATTAGAACAAGGATTTTAGTGGCTACAATATTCATGTGAGAAGTTACAACAGGGGTCATGATCACATTTTAGAAAGCAGCCGAAGGTTGTCGCATGACTCCGAAGAGGCTTCCAGGCGGCGAAGGGACCCTGCACAGCCCCCCTGGCCTAGAAACGCCCATCAAGGGCTGGGCCGGGCTGGCAGGAGGTCCAGCCGCACACTCAGAGCCCTGCTGGCCCGGCACGACCTCCGCCAGCTTTGTGGCTCCCCTCCAGGCCGCCTTCGGGGGGGCCCAGCTGCACGCTCTCCTGGCCATGAAGGGGAGGGGGGAGGATCCCACAAAAGCCCGGTTCATTAAGGGGAAGAGGCCTCGTGCTCATTAGCAGGCCTGGGAACCAAGCCTCTTTGAACCTTCTCCCTTTCAAGGCCATTAGCAGAGGGTCTGTGGGCACGTTAGAGGCAGCCCGCTGCCGGCTGTGGGAGAATAGTGCGGTTCACCCGTGGACTTGAGGTTCAAATCACCCTCCGGGGGGGGGGGGGGGGGCTTCTCGGGCCCATTTAAGGGACGGCTTCACATGCAGAGCTATGCTCAGTGATTCCGACAATCGGCCTTTTTTGTATTCACACCTCCATTTATTTACAAAATTCTCGCTGTCTCCAATACCCTGACCCCTTCTGAAATCGCTTCCCTCAGAACTCCCATGCGGTGCTTTGATGAAACTCATGCTCATCTTGCTACCAACTGCATGCTAACTGCTCATTAAAAGTGCAGAGTATGTGCTGAGCTTGTTAAAAATTAAAGAGCTGCTGGCTTCACAGAAGCCTGGTATCTTTAAAAAAGAAAATCCCTTTAGCCCTTCGCTAATATTAATTAACTACATAGGAGAGAACAAATGGGTTTGAAATATTCAAGCTCGCTCGTCTTTCTGCCGCGGGAAGCCAGGGCTGCTGCTGTGAGAAACCTACGGCTCCTGCTCGGGCCCAGCCAACTCTTCCTACAGGTGGCCTGGAAGAGATTGAAAGGTTTTCCCGACTAATCACTATTTTGGTTAATCATGGAAAAATAGAATTATCTCTAATTTCTTCTCTCTTCCCGTCACACGCATGTAAATTCAAGTAAAAATGGAGCCCTTTCAGCCAGCTTTGTTCTCAGGTGAAACAAGGAGAACACCTACTGATGGATGGCAACAGAGGGATGAGCAGCGGTTATGCCTGCAGAGCTATGACCATAGGGTTTTCAGGTAGGTCTGGAGTGGCACCATCAGAATTCCTACCGGAGATTCCACTGCTGACCCCAATGGAAACGCTGACATTTTATTCCACGGACATTTACCGAATGCCAGGCACTGAGCTGGCTCGAGAAGCCAGAGCTGGCATCGTCAGCATCCCACCTCCATGATCATGGGCCAACATCACCTCTTACCTGGTTTATCACCATGTCTTTCTAAACGGTCTCCTGGCTTCTCTCACTCTTGCCTTCCCTCGGTAGCCTATCCTGTACTCAGAAGCCAGCAATCCTGTTCAAACATGACAAGGGATGCCTCTCCTCTGCTCCCACCCCCCCACCCCTGCCCAGGGACTTCCCATCTCACTCAGAGAGAAAATGAGCAGAATAAAGCCAGTCCTAGAGAACACAGACCAGACAGTGACCTCATTTCCTCCCACTCGAGCCCTTGGTCGGCTCCGGGCACATGGCCTCCTGCGATTCCTGAAACGTGCCAAGCACGTCCTGCCTCCCCCTCGCAAGGTCTCGGAATGCACATGACTCTCGGCCCCCCTGTCACCTTCTCTGTGAACCCACATAAAGCCAGTTCCCCTGCTGCCCCCACAGCCACCCACCCACCGCTGGTGGCAAGCCTTCCCCCATCTGTTTGTTTTTCTCCAGAACATTGATCACTGACATATGTATGAGTTTGTTCACTGCGCCATCTCCCCCCACTGCTGCGCCACTAGAATATAAACTCTCCGAGAGCAGAGGCCTGGTTTGCTCCCTGAGGGATGTCCCACCGGTGCCTGGAACACTGCCTTGCACATAGTAGGTCTCAAAAATTCATTGACTGAATTAATAAATTTACTGAAGTTAGGGTTAAAACCAAAAGGAACAAAACATAACCCACCGCCTTTAAGGCCCTCTCAATATATTAGAAGAGACGGCAGCAAACTTTTCCTTAAAGGGCAAGATAGTAAATATTGTTGGCATCGCAGTCCTTGTTACAACGGCTCAACTACCCTGGCGGCATGCAAAAGGAGTCTCACACAATACGTGAATGAATGACTGTGCTGTCCAGTAAAATCGTGTTTCGAAAACCAGGTAGCAAGCTGGATTTGGCCCAGGTGTTAGAAGATAGAGACATGTGCAGCCAGCCAAAATAGAAATGAAAATCCATCTCAGACAGGTCCGCCTAAAATGCTGTGCGGGCAACAATGGCAAGACTTCGACAAGAACGCACAAGTTTCAAGTGGTATCAGGAAATGACATGCAATGGGATTTCACCCTGACATCAGTGGAAATGATGTGAGCTGATTGCCATGGGGCAATTCATGTAAGAAGCATTTAATAGCAGCTGCTCAGAATGGGATCTTTTCCTTTTATTGCTAAAGCACTTGGCATGGTGCTCTGTGCAAGTGTCTACACTGTAAATGCTGGTTAAATGCATTAAGTCAGCGGTTCTCAACCTGTGGGTCGCGACCCCTTTGGTGGTCCAACGACCCTTTCACAGGGGTCGCCTAAGACCATCCTGCCTATCAGATATTTCCATGACGATTCCTAACAGTAGCAACATGACAGTGATGAAGTAGCAACGAAAATAATTTTCTGGTTGGGTCACAACATGAGGAACTGTATTAAAAGGGCCAGAAGGTTGAGAACCACTGCATTAAGTGATGACAAAATATCTAGATGCAAAGTGAGGTGCAGCCAATTTTCTGAATCTTTTGCTTGTATGCTGCCAAAAGGAAGGGGATTTTTTATTTGACATTATAGTGGATACCATCTTTTTCTACTTTTATTCAGATTTTACCATGGTATACACATCATTTTTGTCAAATTAACAACATGTTACCGGTAAGCATACATTTCATCCCCACCCTCCACATTAAAAAATTAGCATGGTTTATTTTCTAGTTTCCTTTAAAATATATTTTTTGGGAAATGAAAATGCCATTCATTCTTTCATGAAATATTGAAGTCCCTCTAGGTCAGCGGTTCTCAACCTGTGGGTCGCGACCCCTTTGGGGGTCGAACGACCCTTTCCCAGGGGTCGCCTAAGACCATCGGAAAACACATATATAATTACATATTGTTTTTGTGAGTAATCACTATGCTTTAATTATGTTCAATTTGCAACAATTAAATTGGGGGTCATCACAACATGAGGAACTGTATTAAAGGGTCGCGGCATTAGGAAGGTTGAGAACCACTGGGCTAGGTGCTTGGTCCCGGGACAAGGAGCAGTAACATTTGGCCCCTGCCTCAGTGATCGTAGGGGAGCGAAAATATGAAGAAATTGTTAT